CAAATACGTATATACATATATACACACACACACACACACACCCATATATATATATAGATATATATATATCGCGCGTACTTGATGTATGCGTACGCTTGATTATTATCAAGCTTGCATTACAAATATTTTTATGGCGAGTTGAAATAAACAAGTCAGAGTTTATTGTCGATGTATTAACATGCTCGTTCTTAGACGACGTTTGCATCCAGTCCGTACACACCGTTGTGTTGTGCGGGACTCGCGCATTACATATGTATTGCCCGACACAGACACTGCACAGGACATATACTACCATAGTTTTCACACGGATATTGGATATATGCAATACATGAGCACAGGTTCTCCTTTATGAACATATCGTATTGTCGCTGAGCTGCTTGACGTCGACACATATGAGCGCAGGTAATGAAGCCCTCGTCGGGTGCGGGCAGTGACGGTGTCTTCAAGTGTTCGTCCATGGAGGAAGTGTACACCAACTACGACCGTGTGATCAAAGAGATGAGCGAGAACGACACCTTCCTCATCAATGCAGGGCTCACCATCCTGCTGATAGTCGAGGAATACATCGACGGCGACGAGTTTGATGTGGACGTGCTCATGTACGATGGTGAGGCTGTTTATGCGAATATTATCGATAACTGGCCGACGATGGAGCCCACTTTCCTGGAAACGGGCAGCAACTGCCCTACCTCGTATGGACCCAAGGAAGCCCAGCAGCTCAAGGACTACGCAGTGGACTGTGTCCGGGCTATGAAGTTCAAGCAGGGATGCTTCCATGTGGAAGTGAAGTACTCGCGCAAAGAGACGCGGTTACAGAAGGATGCCGACGGTGACGTGCTGGGCACGCCGTTGCTGATCGAGGTCAATCCTCGCATGGGGGTGGGTGCGCTGTTCTGTTGTGGCGTGAGTTTTATCAGTCAGAAAGTATATCGGTGTGCGATCATGTGCGTGTGTACGACTACAAGCAGAATGATGTACCCAGCTGGCCTACTTTGAACCGGAGCTTCGCGAGCATTTCTCAATTCATCAAGGTCGATCCTTCTCTGAGTTTTTCTATACCATGCTCTATGTTTTGTAACGAACAGCTGTATCGGATCAAATATGCACATGTGCACACAGAAAGGTGTATGTGCGATTATCTTTACTAAATGCATACCCTTTGAATTCCATTCCATCGTAATTCATTCATATACACGCAGGGTGGCCGGACCCAGCTTTTCCACAAGGATGTTTACGGCATCGATCTATTCGAGAACTTCTTCATGACACACTGCGGTATCCCCATCGCACCTAAACCTGCCGACCCCCCACTCATATGCCTGGCGGACTACGAGTTCTGTGCGGATGTGACCGGCATCATTGCCCACGATCGGTATCTGGCCGAGGTCAAACAACGACCGGAGATTGTTATGGCCAAAACATACCAGCAGCCCGGTGACCGCGTAAAGGGAACGGATACGGGAGTGCCAGGTACTATTGGGGTTATAGATGTGTTGGTGTGTGTGTGTGTGTTGTGCGGAAGCACCCGCTACTCTGGCCTACTATCGATACTTTTTAGGGGGCACGACAATCCTGAAGTTAGTATCACCGAGCTATGGCAACAATCAGATGATTGCGTAGAAAGGTTTTGTGCTGGTATGAATTGTGTATATATGTTTAATTGTTCTGTGCAGTCGTGACACGGCATATTTACGTTTCATTGATGCCCGTCAGAGATCAATTAGATCCCATTTTTGACACCGCTAAGCCGTCCAGGCAACTGGGTGATCAAGTAATGGGACAAGTATAAGAGTTGCAGGTAAGCATGCGCCTGTAGACATTGGGAACCTTTTCTTCTAGTACTTTCAGTACATTCGCGAATTGGCAATTCCTCACCAAGCAACACTCCTCTCAATACAGAGTGGTGCGGATTAATTCTGGTCAAGGGCGACACACTGGAGGAGGTATGTTCACTCCGTTCACTTGATCATATACTCTAATTCACTTCAGGGCAATGATTTGTCCAGATAAATATGACAGAGGCGTGCATGTGTGATTCAAATGCATCGTAGTTTGTATACATCACCAATATCTCATGCAGTGTAATCTTAAATATAGGCGGATTAATCAAATATTGGTGATTTGCAGCTCAAATGCCATGTTCTTGTTGCAATCAGCCAGATTTTCGTTGTTGACGTTATTGCAAGAAAACCCGACTTCTTGTCGTTCATGAAAATTTTGTTTCAGTTGAACTGAATTTTTCTCCGAACCTACACCACTGCTTTTTGAAAGCCGTATCCGTTACGCCGATTATGTCCTGCCTCCAAGTCCAGCGTATCCTGTGAGACTAATCATCCTCGTTGCCTTTCAACCCATAGGCTACACGTATCTGCAAGGAAATCGGGGACTCGATTAAGTTACCCATTATATCCGATAAGTTGGCCAAAGGTCGTCGAAAGTCATCGTTGCTTGCAGAGTATGACAGCGAAGAGATACCGAACCTCAAGGCTCGTCGCAAGTCACGAGTGAACGCGCACAGTGATATTGTCTTACAGAAGGATTGAGCGGCTTTCTATCTCGTCGGCGCCAAATATAAGTAGTAGTGTGACTGGGTTATTTATACATAGTAAATTAGGCTATGCGGTCATTTTTGGTAGAAAATAGTGTAATGATATAAAGTTAATAGTCTTATAGAGGGATGATGTTTGGCAAAATAAAACCGGAAGCACTCGAATAGAACATGGTTTAGGAACGACACATCATCACGTGTGCGACAATATCTCGCGGGGCTGAACTCAAGATCTAGCCTTGGCACAGAGTTGTTGCTTCATTTTTTCGATATGGTTGGAAACGTTTAAATTGTGAACTTGGACCTCGATATACTGTACACGACACGATTCTACATACTGAACAGTCTACTTCCGCTATCGTTGAGGTTCTCTTTTCAAGTAAGTAAATGCGGATCAGCGAAGCTAAACCCTTATTTATGGAACCTCGATACGTAGCTGACATTGTTGGGATCATTGAATGATCTATTGGGCCCGTCAATTGAGAATCCGTTGAAGACACCCCCGTACAGTACATGCTCTGTGGTGTGGGTTTCAGCAACAGGCTAATTTGCAAATGTTGTGTCGATCAGTGCGTAGTTTGTGCTATATTTGCCTGTTGACGAACGTAAATATATGTCGGAGAAAATAAAGTCCTCATCAGTGGACACGTACTTGCTGCCTATCACACTCTCGACTGCCATATTCCAGTAGGATAGTGCCTTCGATTCTCAATCTCGAGCAGTCGCAAGCGATGGGAACCTGGTACTCCTCTGAAATCTGCACAGCTGCTGCATGCTTCACTATATAATGGTACTTCCCCTTTGTCACTAGTCAGGTTGCGCATGGTCCACATAGTGTCGACGAAAGCCACTGATCAAAACCATGCAAATCTCACAACTCTTTAAACCCTAAAACGCATTAATTTAAAAATGGAATACAGAAATGCTAAGATGGTTTGTTCGTTTTATGTATGGAGTGGTCGTCGAAATTTTATTTGCTTTTCAGCTGTGTCTGTAAATTTTGTGAATATACCGCTCCATATTGTGCTCGTGAACTCGGAACGTCTGTGTCGGTATTCATGTTAAACATAAATACAATATATTCATTCAGATACAACAATCCCACGATATATTGAAAAGCTTTTAATACCGATATATGAGTTAAATAATCGATTACAGCGAATAATAAACCATTTATACTCTAATAAAATGGGTTGATTCCCTTTTTAAAAACTACTATTTATTTTGAAGTATTAGAACCCAAAACCTGGCCAGAACCTGAGAATATATAAAACGAGGTTAGAACTAAGCAAGTCTTGCTTTGCGTACTTCCAATTCCTAATTGCCATGAGAGGGAGAATTCCGAGCAGCAATCTATAAGCGAGCTGAGCCCATGCTTCGCCGGGATCGCGTACGCGACAAGCGTGCTTTGACTCGACAGCGGTCCTGACTTCCTTTAATATTCATAGGTCAGTTCAATCTCGCATCGATCTATGCCGGAAGATCCGGTTCCCATCCAAAGGCTGTCGATACACTTTAAGAGATCTCTTGATCTTAACTACCAGTGAACCAACAACCAGCTATGGCTCAGCTGACATTTCTTATTTTTATGTCCATAATAGCACTTCTGGGATGGAACTTTGCTTTTATTGATCTATGTGTAAAAAATAAATAAAAAATAAATAAATACATATTGAGTCAGAAACTTTATTTGATGATGACATCACTGTGGAATCTGCTCACTGTTACGTCATTGGAAATACGTCCAGGGTCATACTCATTATATAAATATGTGACTATGTGTCACATGAATTATTTTGGCGGGTGATTCTCGCTTGATTATGACGTGTCGTGCATAGCCTTCGAGATTGAAACAGGCCATTTATGTGTCGTGTCACAAAGCCTCCTAACAAGTCAATATTTACTGTACATAGTGATAGGACCACCATAGCATAAATAGCCTCCTCTCGCTCTCGTTTTCAGAAGGCTAAGATAGGAGGCTATATATATCCCTATAGCCTGATTGCACTTTTTGTTTAGTTTTAGTTTAATAGGAAGATTTATATATCATCCAAATAATGATTTAACTGTGCACGTTGCTATCACCACTATAATAAAGTGAGTGGTCCATAGTACTCAGGCAAGACTTTCTGCAGATCTCTGAAACTGCAATACTGTGCTTGTTCGGGTGGCGTTGTAGATACGACGATACCCTAACAGACCACACTATACGTTATTCCGTTGTGGTATCCGGGCTTAATAGTTTTTGCTTGTATTAGATCACCTGATGCAGGAATTTCAATGTGTCTGATTAGACGATGCGATGAAAGCTCTAATCGCATACCCACAGGACCAGTTCTTTCATCTCAGCTGATTTAATGATATACCTAGGTCTATTCTACGGCTGTGGAGTTAATCGATTCGGTATTTTACAATCAATATCCATCAATTTATACAAGTTCTTGCTTTTCAGCTTGAACGTTATCGCTTGTCCTTAGGCCAAACCGTGCAATATGACAAGTGAACGTGATATTGCCGACAAGGCAGAAATTTTGAAACTGATGGAAGTTTACGAGGAATTGTTGTCAAGCACTGAGGATGCTACAGAGGTGAGTGTATTGAAGTACACGATGTTCAATATTCAGCACCATAACGCACATACACCTATACACACATACACAAGAATATATATATATTTATATATATATATATTATGTTCACAATATTATATATATATATATATATATATATTATTTATACACACACACACACACACACACA